ATATTACAGAACTGACAATACGTATGAATAGACAAGATGAGCTAGGAATTACTACAAGACTCAGAATTAAAGAAGCATAACACAAAAGTACTTGTCTAAGTAATATAACTAGCAGCGAAGTAAAGTTAGAGGATATAGTTTTCAGATATAACCTAGCTTTTAAAGTGATAGCAGAGGCAAAAAAACTAGGTTTTAGTTTTCAAGAAAGCAGCTTCTACGAAACTAGTCTAAACTTAAAAGGTACGAGTCTATTGGATATATTAGAGAGAAAAGAAGTAATCAACTACAGAAATAGTAACAACATGAACATTTTTATATTAGAGCAACTAATCACAAGAAATGATAATATCCTACTAACATAGCAACAAGTCAAAACTATTAGAGGGTATAAAGGAAGAGGACAAAAACCAAATTGGTACAAAGATTTGGAGGTAAAAGTCCTCGAAAATAGCAGCTCAAGAGTGCTGAAAGCAGAGTTCCAAACAGATTTGCCAAACGGGTAAGCTATAAGGTGCAAAGAATAAAGAGTATCTGCTGACAAAAGAAAAAAAGAATGGGTAATATTTGAGAAAGAAGGAAAACTAGAATGTGGAAGAGATACAAGGAAAGAATCTAAGTACTTCATAGTAGAGCACTGGAAATTAGAGGAAAATGATAATTTGGGAATCTCGACATCAATGACCATGTGCAGAAGCTGCAAATTAGGAAAACGAAACGATATGAGCTGTCTAATCAGACTTAAGTACATGGATTGGCACCAAGTACTTAACAAAGTTCATAGAGTTAATGAGCTTGCTTCTACTATAATATCAACTACGTCGTATAAAGATAACAGAGAAGTAGTTAATGCTGAATTAATAGACAACAGCAAAGACATAGAAGTTAGTATTATGGAAATAGAAAAAGCAGTTATACATAGAGTAATTAGAGATAATAATTTACAAAATGAGCTTAATAGAATAGCGAGATTACTTAAAAGAGAGGAGAAGCTAGATATATATACAGATAGCTCACTAGTAGTAGAAAATATAGAAGGAAAAGAAGTTAAAAAGATGGTATCAGTTGGGTAGTAGCAGATGAGAACAGGATAGAATCTAGTATTAGCTTTAGTGGTAGTATAGTAGATTAGCCTTCATCTACATGTGCAGAACTAGGTACGATCTGAACAGCTCTTTTAGTAGTACCCTTTAGAGCAACTGTTAGAATATTCTCAGATAGTAAGGCAGCAATCGAAGGAATCCAGAACTTTAAAGGTCTTTCAAAGCTAAGAAGCAATTTTAAAGCAAAAAATCATAGCATAATCAATTAAATTGCAGATTGTTGTAAAATGAAAGAAATTAAGCTAGATCTGATTAAAGTAAAAGGTCACAGTTCAAATATTTGAAATGATAGAGCAGATCAGTTAGCTAAAGAAAGCCTCTCTTCAGATTTAATTCTCGAAGCCCAAGAAGTAACAACAAGTAAAATTAGATTTTTCCTATTATGGAAAAACAAAATTATAGACAATGTACTTAGATCTTTCGTTAATATAACCACAGCAACATTTTATGAATGCGCATGGGCAGACTTAAACAGTATTAAACTAGTATTAAATCAGAGGCTATCAGACCAATGTAATGATAAGCTAAACTGGAAAAATACGTGAAGTGTTTTTAAAAACTTACAAGGAAAAAAAATGTATAAGCATAAAGAAGAGCAAAATGCTAATATTTAGGCTAAAATACCTAAATAAGCTTTTGCTAACAAAAGACATGTGCTACCAAAGAGACCCTATGCTATACAAAACCAAGATCTGTATTGCATGTTATGCAAAAGCAGAATCCTTCGAGCACTTAGCAGATTGTGTAGTTTACCCACCAATATGGAGGCATATAGAAGCGTTTATTATTAATGAGCTGAGCTTTTTACTTATCTCCAAATTAGAAGTCAAAGTCGAAGCTCAGAAATTAAGTGAAATCTTCCTAGGTTTAAGTACAGAAATCAAGCTAAAAAAAAGAAAACTTTATATACAAGAGCTAACATGTTCAAGCCTGTTAGCAGAAGCTAGAGCTCTTTTAGGATCAGCATCTAAAGCTAACAAAGCTATCTGCTGGTTTACGGAAATTTTCTGGTCAAACTTTTTTGAAAGACTTTGGAAATTTCGTTGCGAAGTTTTCTTAGAGTGGGAAAAAAGAAACAATATTGACTCTAAGAAAAAGAAGAATAAATGAAAATATAAAGACCAACTCGAGTAGGAAAGATATCAAGCAGGAAAGGAAAACCAAAATCCTGTGGAAAAGAAGGCTACTGAATCACTTAATGCTAAGGAAAAAAGGATTCAAAAAGAAGCTGAAAATAGAATTGAAAAGTAGATTACAGAGGGTATGAAAGAAAGTTGGTTAAGTTTCAAAAATAATTAAATAGGCATTCTTAATATAGACGCATAGTAGCCTTCTGGAGATCCTTAGAATATGACCCTGCTTAGGCACTCTATTCTTCAGGGAGGAAAATTTACTATTGCAGCAGATCGCACCTGGGCACTTTAGGTAGCTGAGTGAGTTCTAAATTATATAAAGAAGGCATTTTTATAGTTAAAATAGTTTAGCTTATATTTTTGTTGTAACATTTTATATGTTTTCTCTTAATAAATGATGTGCAAGATCGCCTAAATAAAAAAAAAAATAAAAAAATAAAATAAATATTTAAAGACTATTTTTCAGATTTGAACTTTTATACTATGGTAAAAGCATTACAATTATAATAAAACACCTCTTGCTTTTTTGTCTGATGTATTTTACTGGCAAGACAACAACTATTCATTTATTGAAGCATTTAAACTTTTTTTAGTAAATTTTAATGAATACTTTGTAGAAAATTTTTATAGTAAAATTTGTATACAAACTTCACCAAATTCAACACTAGAAAATATTATAAGACAAGCTTATATAATTGGTATACCTTTTTTTATTTGTATTGTATTATTAAAAATTTAAAATATTGTTAATTTTGTATTATAGATATGCAAAATGAAGATGAATAGCAAAATGCCTTTATTAAAACAAGCCGATACCCTTATACTGCATCAACATTAGACTTTTTAATAGATAAAATAAGACTTTTTCTTCTTAATTATCTAAAAAAAGTTTTTGTTAACCATGAAAAAAGCAAATTCTACTAAAAACAAAAAAATACATTTGAATACTATTTGGCTTCTATAAACAAAATTGTAGATACTAAGTATTTTCCAATTAGTTATAGTTCAAACTTCCCTCCAAAACCTAACCTCTGTGATCACTGTCACAAATTTTTGAATGATGATAAAATTTTAATTTGTAGTCATGGTTACTATAATAATTGTTATACGAATATGAAATATTGTTGTTGGTATTGTAAAGAATTTTATAAAAAAGGAATTTTCTATAATATCAATAGTTTTGTAAAACGACTAGAAAAAGAACCTAACATACTTACGAAGGAAAAAAAAGAAGAAAGAAACTCTGAAGAACCAATTCAAGAAGACAATATAGCAGAAGAAGTAAGAATGGAGAAAGGCAATAGTTTCTTAATGGCACTTAATACTGTTAGTACTTGGTAAAAAATATAAATATTAGGTACTATGAAAACTTCATAGAACATGCGATCCTATGCGATCCCAAAGTTTCAAACGAAATAAAAAGTACCTTAAAACAAGTTTTTTAAACATATAATAGTCAAATCTAATAAGTATAATGAACTTGTCATATGTGCAAAGTTGGCATTAAACTCACGTTTTTTCGTATTTGTCATTAATTGATTGGCTATTTGAAATGATCGACAATTATTGCATAACCAATTAAATCGAACTTCCACTATGCTAAAAAAATGCTACTATCTCAAAATTTCCTTTTAGAACTCTAATTAAAAAAATTCCTTGCTAAATTTTACATATACTAATGCCTTTGCTAAAATATCAGGCTTTGCCCTAACCCTAAAGTATATAAAAAGTGTTTTTTTTATAAAAAATTATTATTTTTTTTTTTATAAAAAATTAAACCCGTGTTTCTAAAATTCAGTATCAAAACTATGGGCGGGCCGCACATTACACTTAGATTCTGGTGCGCTACAGCGCCCCTAAAGTTTTTTTTAATGTGCGCAATAAAAATTGCTTCGAGAAAAGCTTTATTTGTTTCGCAATTATTTTATAATTTGATTAATCAATTAGCAAGTTAGCTGCATAATAAATATAGCGTACATCGAAATTTAAAACATATATGAATTTAAAAATTTTAATGTGCGCATTTCGTCCATAATTTTAAAGTATATGTGCGCAAAGCGCCCATACAATTAATCTTTAAGGTGCGGAAAAATTTTTTAACGTGCGCTCCGCTCCTTCCGCACATTAATTTTAGACACTGCCGTGTACAGTTAGTTTTTTTCATTTCTAAATTATTTTTTGCTAAGAAATTTTTATCCGAATATTATTAAATTATTCGGGTTATTCGAGTGACCATATAGCTCGGATCCAATCCTTAATTTAAAATCTGAAAACAACTAGCAGGCCTTATCTATTGAAAGATACATAGCCGATTCCTTCTTCAAAACAACCCGAATTGAGAACTCGAAGTGGTTACCAAGATGTCATACCCGGTAATTCTTCTAGGCAGAACGCGTATTGCGCCGAGACTAGAAGTTGCCCTATCTTTGCAAAATAAAAATAATACACACCTTTTCATTTAAATCTTCACCTAACTTACTTGCTTCTGGTATAAAATTATTAGCCCAGTTACTATCAAGAAACTCTCAAGTAGAAATACGTTCATCAATTTCACTTTTGAATCGTTCGGAATATGCAACTACAGCCGTAGTAAACTAATATTTCGATACAATATAATTGAATTAATTGCCATGAATTGTCATGCAAATAAATATATCATTAATAAAATATTTAATGTTTACCTCACCACGGAACTTATCTTTATCTAATGCATGAGTAGACAAATTTTCGTCTTTATCTAATGCACGAGTAAACGAGTAAACGAATTTTCGTCTGATGCAGTAACGGAGAATGGTGGTTTTATCAGCATGTCAGCGACTGGTTCAACGCAATTAACTTCCACATTAGCATTAGCAGTATATAAAAAAGACCTAGGTTCTTCATTGATTGGTTGTGAGGAAGAAATATTTGCAGACAATGAGGGTGTACGCTCAAGAGTACTATTAAGGTCAGAAGTTTGTTGTTTCTTTTCAGTATATATAAGAATAATATTACTTTCATTTTATCACTATCCCTTGATGAGTGACTTTTATCCCTATCCAAAACTTTATCCTAATATATGAATTTCATCGAGAAGGTTTCATCAAATTTTGCAATCATATTTAATTAACCTTATAAAATAAAAAAAGAAAGGAAAAAACTATGCCTTCGAACTT